AGAAACTTCCAGGTGACTATAAGAAAAAAAGTTCTCCATGAGGATGGTTCAACACTGGTACAGGAAGCCAGAGAGGTTGTGGAATTTCCAACTTTGGAAATATTCAGAACTTGATTAGACATGGCCCTGATCAACCTTAACTACTCTAAGTTGGCCTTGCTTTGGCAGGACATTGGACTAGGAGGCCTCTCAATCTTCTTTTTCCAAATTCTTTAAGTATAATAACTTTCTTCTGATACTGAGATAATAACGTCAACATGCAAAAGCTAGCATGTGCCCCTGTGGCCAAGAAGGCCAACGGGATCCTGGGGTGCATTAGGCAGAGTGTTGCCAGCAGGTGGAGGGAGGTGATCCTGCCCCTCTACTCAGCCCTGCTGAGGCCTCACCTGGAGTACTGTGTCCAGTTCTGGGCTCCCCAGTGCAAAGAGAGACATGGCACTACTGGAGAGAGTCCAGCGGAGGGCTACCAAGATGCGTAGGGGACTGGAGCATGTCTCCTCTGAAGAAAGGCTGCGAGAGCTGGGCCTGTTCAGCCTGGAGAAGAGAAGACTGAGAGGCGATCTCATCAATGTGTACAAGTATCTGAACGGAGGGTGTCAAGAGAATGAGGCCAATCTCTTCTCCGTGGTGCCCAGCAACAGGACAAGAGGCAACGGGCACAAAGTGAAACACAGGCAGTTCCACCTGAACATGAGGAAAAACTTCTTTCCTGTGAGGGTGACAGAGCACTGGAGCAGGTTGCCCAGAGAGGTAGTGGAGTCTCCTTCCCTGGAGATATTCAAACCCCGCCTGGATGGGATCCTGTGCAATGTGCTCTAAGTGACCCTGCTTGAGCAGGGGGGTTGGACTAGATGATCTCCAGAGGTACCTTCCAACCTCGGCCATTTTGTGATTCTGTGAAAAGCAATGAAACAGGAGCGAAGAACAAATTTAAGAGTGTTTAACGGCGTTTACCTGGTTTGGTCAACCAGTGCTGGCCTGTATGGTCAAATGAATCATCCTTTTGTATCTGTACCGGCAGTATTGCTTAGAAGTCTGCTAACTGTAATAGGAACTTAGACAACTATGCTCATGTGTAGGCACCTACTTGCAGGCCTGTAAATGTAAATGTCATGACCTCAAATTGAGTCACACCCTAGAATCGCATCCTACATAGTAGACATCTACACCTCAGCTAGCCATTATGGGCTACCTTCATGGTCCTTGGAGAGAAACATGGAGTTCAAGCTATGATTCATCTGAACCATTACAGATATCTACATTTGAAGAATTTCTTTTGCCATAAGGAGAGTTAGGGTGACTAGCAGACACATGTTTTAGCTAAATCAATCCCAAAGTCTTCGAGCTCAGATGCACACTAGGCTTCTGAGTACTCCCAGATAATGATTAGATCTCATACAGTTAAGCTATTTCCACCACTTGCCTAAATACGACATTGAATGCTATAGTCCTGCTTCTGTCTTTGCTTAAGGAGCTCTTCAATGAAGCTTTCAATAAATTAGAAATGCTGATCACTCAACATAAAGGATGCTCCTAATATACAGAGGATATATATCACAACTCATTTTCTCCTACGTAAGTAAAAACTGCTTCTTACTTTCTTAATTGCTAATTAGTTTCAGTAGATACTGTAAGATCAGCACAGTAGTTACTATAAGTTGTGTTAAAGTTTATATATCTATAGGAAAATAGAATATTTTAATGAAATACACCAAATTTCCTGTATTATAATATGTATAATATCTGCAACAATAAAATTCTGATATGCCATGTCACAGGACAACACCACAATATATATAACATTTTTCAGGTAGTTGCTAGAGGATTAAATTTACTTTGCACTTGTGATACTCCTGTGCCTAGCAAATATTATATAAAAAAAGGACTCCATTTCCTCTCAGCTATATTATGTTTCCTTCAATTTTCTTCCTCTTTCTCAACAAATACCTGCAGACTCTGAACTGAAGTTCTGCACTAAGATTTGCCATGCAGGTAAACGGAGCAAAGATAACTTCACACTAGCTAAGTTGGATGCTATAAATCATGTAGATGTGGAAGAGAACTATTCAAGAAAGCTGTCTAGGAACCTGAGCAAATATTTAAGCAGCTGGCCAATCTGAGCTTCATGTCTGCAGGGTTCACAATTCAGCTTGGTTAGGCCTGTACATATTGCAGTGTATTTATACTTCCAGAAATAAAGTGGAGGAGTTCAGTAACTTAAAACCTTTCAAGATGTACCTGAGATAATGAAGAACAAGAATGCTTACCAAGTAATCACACATGGAAACACAAGATTGGACCAACCATTTACATAGAAATGCTACATTTTTGCTGTTCTCTTCAGTGAGATGCTTACCTATCTGACATTTTAATGACACTCCACAAATCAGAGAGCTAGTAAGAAAGAAAACTTAAATTATGCTTTCCAATAAAAAAAGAGGAAAAAGAGATTACAAGTTTTTTTGTAAGATAACTTGCAAAAAATACAGGAATGCAGGAAGAAAATAATGGTTTGGCTCATATAAGCATCACCAGCAACTGGAAGCACTTAACTACCACAGTGATGAAATCTGTAAGAAATGATGAACACACAAGAGTTTTAAGAACTTCAATCACAAGAGTTTTAAGAACTTTTACGTCTCCAGTTAACAAAGTTTTCGATAGCATCAAGGCTAATTGCTCCAATCTTAACTTTGTTTCATCAAAGTAAATTGATAGCTTCTTGTTTTCTTGTTAGCTGAGTCATAAGGCCCTCAATTTCATTTTTTCTCTGTGAACTCTCTGCAATTAGAGGCAATGATTAGAATACAGTCTATTTTACACAGCAATTACCTCTTCATGCTGTAAAATAGGCTGCATGGCTGAATGGAGAACATCAAGGGAACCTTTTAGGAATACAGGGGAAGTACGGGGATTAGAGAAATGTGTCTCATTTTGTATTTAAAGGGTGAGACTGGATGTGGGTGTTTCACAATGCTACAAAATTGAAAATTGTCTTTATTACAGGATCACCTAATGGTCTTGTACAACCAGATTTTGGGCCATGACACTGCTTTGTGTGTGGGTATGCATGTACTACAATAACAAGGGCTTCAGGAAAACAATCCACAAAGAACTCTTTAGTCTGTGCAATTCAAAATACTTCATATTTACCTTTATTTCTTTTAACAACTTCCTCTTCAAGTATTACATTTGTATCTACAGTAGACTACTCCAATACTTCAGAAGATACGAATTAAAATCTAAAAACTAAGTACAAATTAAGGGTACATTACACTGCCTACAGTTACAAAAGGAAAGCAACAGACCAAGTAAACTTGACAGAGTTTTTGTCATTTACCATCAAAAGATCAGGATTTCACCCAGAACTTCAATTAAAGGGCAGAATACCCTAGCCCTCTAAAAATTAAAACTGATCAACTAGAACTGGTTAACCTAAGTTCCAATTACAATCAGCAGAAAAAGGCAATTCTGGAATTCAGTTCTTCTGACCTGGCTAGCTTAGGAAAAGCCGAAATGCTACATCTGTTTCCTATTTCTCTCCATTGACCAAAAGAAAAACTCTGGATGATTAGCTCAGGCTTAGCAATCTAAAGTTAGCAGAGGTAGAAAGAGGTATCAAGTTTAATTTTTTCTTCTCTAGAAATTTTCCACATTCACAGACTATTTGCTTTAATGCAGAATAGTGCCTCTGTTATCTACTGGAAAAAAAAAGAAAAAGCAACACTAATAACATCAAAGTCCATATACCTTCCATATACCTTCCTTCAATGCAGACATATCAGAAAGAAACTAGCATTTTTTTTTTTTAAATTCTATTCTTAAACTTCCTTTCTGCAACCAAACCTAAACAGCGAAAAACTAATGAGAAGGGAAGTTTCTTTCTGATGGAGCTCCATTAATATTTGCAAGCAGATGATATTTTGTTATATAATCACATGCTTTATAAATGCAACATCAGCCGAAGCTTTCAACCTCCAAATATATGCATTTTGCAAGACACTAAGGTTTTTAGTAGTTGATACCTATCTTGCAATTAAAAAAAAAAAAAAATCCAAAACCAGAAAGTCCATGAGCTGAGAAGACTTTTCCAGGCATCACAGAATAAAAATTACGAAAATATCAGAGTGTGTAACCCACTGGACTAGACCACCCCACCAGGTGTGCAGCTACTGACTAGATGCACAGGATTAGATATTGAATGTTATTTCCTTGCCAGACTAAGTTAGCTTTTAAGTGTCCATTAACGGGACACTTAAATAACTTAACTTGGTTTAAGTTAAAGCAGATTTCTTCTATGGAGATAATGTTCAAGTTACACTTTTTTATATTACAGCTCTTCATTATTTCTATTTAATACATTTGCCTCAATTTTATGACGTGCCACATAAAATCTGAATGCAAACCACTACAGTCAAAAGTAATGTTAGATATTTCACTTCAGGACCCATACTTTATTTAGGAGCCAGTGAATGACAAAGCATATTTCAGTATATAGGTGCTGTCATCTACAACATATTGAACCTATTATGTAATACAAATCACCGTACAATATTTTCTCCATACAAAACAGAAAGAATAGTATTATTTATTCAGAAGACTTGAACAGATTTGTATTTAACAATCTATACTTGGAGAAAATATAGGCTGCAGTATGCAAAATGAAATAAAGTGTGAAAACCTGACCTTCATGCTGTTCAGTTAGTTGTTCTAAAAGCTTCTGGGCTACTGTTGTTTCTCTGTTTTTAACTCACATTCTGGCATCTCCATATGAATGGGCAAAACCAGATCTGACAATGACCAGTTGTCACTAACCTATAACAGTTTTTCCAATCTAGACACACTGAAATCTTTTATGACTCCAAATTCTCTTCATCCCCTTCATCTCTAAACTTAAATAGTTCTAGAGGCTTCAGTGATACTTAGGCTAAAAGAATATCCAGCCTTTTTACTTTTACATTATGTTCAATAAATCTTCAAAATCTGAAGAGCTGACTTACCATTTTCTTCCAAGTACATCAGAAGGATGCTGCTGGATTCAGTCCCTTCTATGGCATAATCAAGTGCAATGTTTCCATTAACATCTTGCAGCAGCACATTTGCTCCAGCCTACACACAAGAATTAAGACCGTTTTAGGATTTTGTAATGAAATCTCAGAACTCTACAGGGCTTCTAACATATTGGGACCAGTTAGCTTTCCCACTCAAAAACATTTCAAAACTGTTTTTTTTTTTTTTTTTTGGACAGTAGGTTCATTGTAACCTGAAACAGAAAATAAAAACAAAGACAAAACTAAAGGATTCCTGATTGTCAGAAAGAACTGGCACAGCTGACACTGATACCACCCGAGCTGTCCAGCCTGCCTGTACTGCACAGATGTCTGAGCAGCCCGTCAATGAGTTTTGGAATCACTGTGGTTTGCAGCACAGCATTTTAAAGTAAAGAAAGCTGTCACCAATTACAGTCTGCCTTAAAATACTGCACAGTAAACAGCAGTGGTTCAACAGCTGACTGACAAGCAGCCCAGACACCCATGCAGTAAGGATGAGCAGACAGCTGGTAGGGGTAACCACGTCAGCCGGGCCAACCTCTATGGCCTCATTCATCAATCAAACTTCAAAGAGAAACATCCCTTGCTAAATAAAATTGCCATTTGTCACCAACTGAATACAATGAAAGTGAGCTTGATAATTTCAGCTGTAGGCCCTAAAGGAGCCAAGCTGACATTTCTATAAGTTTCATTCAAAATTCAACATAAAGGACAAGCAACTAAAGGGAGCTAGAGAACAATTAGGGGAGTTGAGGGAAATAGGCACGTGAGAAGCACAAAGAGAAACCTCCAGGATGATGAGAAAATGCACATTTTCAATAATGAATATTGTTAATGCTTGAATTTGTAGTATGAAGGACAGATTTGTTTTTTTTTTTTTTTTTAATATGAAAGCTTTCTTCTTTTCCTTGAAGATATTATATATAACTGGTGGACATAAAAGCTTATACTACAGTGAAATGTCATCTGTCATCTTTTAGAGGTCATAACCTTAATTCATTTCAAGTGTTCTCTCTATGGCTTTAAACTGAAAGCAATTATTAAACAAGAGTGACCTCTGGTAAATTTAATTACTTTTCTTACCCACTTGTATGATAAAGGTGTAGCTAATAAAAATGATGACTACCAATGACAGTTTTACTTTAAACCACAGTGGCAAAGGTAAACGGATAATAAGGAATTATTAATATTAAAAGATATGACTGCCTCTTTCAGGAGCTTAAACCATAAGTACCATTTCGAAGGAAAACTCCCAATGGGGCCAGCTCCTGGCTCAGGGTAATTATGACATAAAAAGCTAGCGAATTCATGCGGGTTTCATGCCATCTGACTTAAACCGTTGAAGCTGGACTGCTAGTCTGAGCTAATCTCTTGTGTTCCCTTTGTAGTGAAAGAGGGGACAGACAGGCATCAAAGAATGACTCATCCCAGCTAGCTCAAACACTGAGATATCCTGCTAGAGGATATCCTACACTACACGATAACCTATCTTACTACAAGGTATACTACTTTCTGGTATCGTCTGCCTTGCTCCACTGACTGTAAGTGAGAACCAGGACAGCAAATTTATATCAGATGCATAATTTGTAGACAGCTAAATGAAATTAGATGAGAAGAGTTGACTCTCTTAGTGAAAAGGAATGGAAAACGACTTTCAAAGTCTAAAATGTTATATCCATTATAGTGCTATGAAAATAAATTTCTATTTATCTATCCTGTAAGTGAGACCAGAACTGAAGAGATGATAGAAAAGCTGGCAAAGGATGGACTTGAGCAGCATAATTTCTTTGGTTTAATGATATTTACTGTACTTGTTCCATTACTAGGCGGTAAGATCTTGTGTTTTGACTTCTATTCACTGACTCAGGAAGGTTTGCTGGTCAAAGTAGAGTCAAAGAAGTAACATAATTTTTGTGTCTGATTGTCTTGCCTGTAGTAAAAAAGTAGTACACAAGGTGGATAATAATAAAACAAATCTATATACATTTTCTTCCCTGTTGAGCTAAGAAACCAATATACCTTTGATATATTAAAATTCAGGAAAAGTAGGATATTTAACTTGGCCAGCAGTACACTGTCCGTTCTTTCTCTAAGGCGTTATGTCATTGAAGGATAAATGGAATTATTCAACTCCTCATAATTTTTATTGGGTAGTTCTAGAATAGTTTATTTTTTTCTTCCAGTTTTGCGATTTCCTAAACATCTTATTTTAGTTACCAGAAGTTACAAATATTTCAAGTGTTAGTATATATGAAACCTCAGCAGCACCAAAACATATTATTGATCCATTATGTTTCCTTTCTCTATATAGTGCCAAGCCTACAAAGGAATTATTTAGTGTGGATCTCAAATAGTTCTACCAACTTACTTCACTAATAGGTTTGATTACGAGATGTTCAACTAATGAAGATATCTGTGCTGCTTGTGGGGTACACACAATAGTAAACCTGAGATCCAATTTTCCAGGACAATTTCTTGCTTGCTGACTTGTTTTCCTTTCACCATTTTTAAAGCGCTAGAGAAAAATGACTGAAGCTCCAAATAATCATTAGAACATCCTGAAAACTATACTAAGCTTTTAAAATCTGACTTATTATTCATGCATTTATTTTTATGTTTAATGCCATAAAATTTTCTTCCAGAATTATAGTAAATAGAAACCTGCACTTTAATAAAACTGAAGATAAGACTTGCTGGATTCATCTGACTTCAGTAAATCTGATTTTAAGAACTGCATTAAATGGCTTGAGAATAGCCAGAAATACTGCTATTTGTAAAGTCCAATATGTCTCATAAAGAAAGCAATTCTAAGTATAGCATATAAAAGATGACGACCCTTGTTCCATGTGAGGAAGTATCTTATCCACGACTATGTGTTTGAGGATTTAAGTACACATGGATTTAGATCCTAGAAATGCTTGTTAATCTCAGTTTCTTTGGTACATTCTCAAAACAGTTCTTAATTATATTTCTATGCTTAGCTATGCTTTCAAATAAAACCTGACCTGAAATAATCCCCTTGTGATAGCCATCTGAAAAATAGCTTTCAAAGAACAATTAGGAAAAACATCCCAGGCTAGCTGATGAATTTTTCTGCTGATATAGGAAAAAAAGTTGAAAAAAAAGGGTAAACGGATAGATAAAAAATTGTTTCCCTTCTTACTAAGTTCTATTTTTTTTTTTTCTTACTTTCCTCTCTCTCACAAGGGGCCATGGAAGACAGATATTTCACTGTAACCATTTGAAAGTAACCTGCTAACAAAGAGTTTTTATTAAGGAACTCATTTGAATAAACTTTTTATATTCAGAACCAGATTCTGACATTTCTGGCATACCTGCAGATGAAACTCTCTCACCAGTTCTTAATATTTATTGTTTGGACCTTCAAACCAAACTAATGAAAAACAGATTCATTAATCCAGGTACATATAAAGGGTTGCAAATACATACTGCTTTACAATTGCTCACCATATCAGTTTCATTTAGGTTTAGTGATACAGCTACTGCAGTGGAAGAGGCGTGTAGAATTTCCTAGATGATTCCACTGGCTAATCGGACACTTTTCTGCCGGTAACTGATACTCAGTTACCCAAAAGAAAGTAAACTATAATGCAGGCTTCATGTTAATCAAGGACAATAAGGGGAACCCTTAATAAAAGAACCTCTAGTAAATTTGTATCTTTTTATTTTGCTACACAGTAACATGCACATGTACTGTACACTGCACACGTACTACTGAAACTTGTGAAAGTGCAATGATATCAATTCACAGGGAAAGGGGAGACATTCAAAGCCATGTGAAGCAACTGATGGTAGGTAAGGAGCTCATTTGTTCCAGCAGTATAGGAGGGATTTACATAGCCACGAATACAGACAGACCACAGTTCTTCCATCTTTGCTGCAAGCTGGAAGATTTGAGCCAGTTCAGGTCCACAAAAATCCTACCTGTGAAAACACGGCATCACCAAGCTAACAGGTTTGTTGGCTATTATCCAAGTTGATGGCTTCTGGATTTTTGGAGAAAAAAATAAAAACCTAATCCAATGAAATAGTGTTTTTTTGAATAAGACTGAAATGCAAAACTTTTAATACCAAAATTCTCTGTTGAAATGGAAATTTTGGGTTTCAAACAACTTCAGTTACAATTCATACATACATTGTGCTGGCTATCTACATGTGGGAAATTTCACCGTTTCCCTTCTTTAGTGTGTTGCGCAAGACCCTGTCAAAAAAGTCTGTTTTTTAATTGCTGCAGTTGTCAGTATGATGCAAAATGTACAAATCAATATTTTGAAGTGTTCATAGGATAGAGTATATCTTTCTGTTCAACTCTGATCACGTATTTGCCTGAAATATATTGGAAATTCTTCATTGCTGAATGTGACACAGACTTCCCAGTTGCCCAGGACTCCTTTTATTCCCAGTCATGGCCAACGCTAAAAGATCACTTGAAGTTTAGTTTCTAATTAAAACTCAAACTTCCCATTAGCTTCTTATGCAAGCAGGATCGAGATGGCAATACCACAACCGGCAGAAAACATGACAGAAGCTCACACAAGTATCAGATGGGGATCAGACTGATAAATGAGAGAGAGGTAGGCTAAGCTAAGCAGCAGAAGGACAGAAGAGCAGCAGACTCAAGCAGAAGTGCAGACAGAGCATGACAAAGATGTGCAGCATGTTGTAGATAACAGATGTCAAAAATATTGTACACATATGTCCAAATTCAGATGGCCAGAACTGTACCAAACTATTCAAGTGTTACCATTATATATAGAGCTTTGTAGGCCAGACAATGAGAAACACAGATATAATATAAGATGCAGACAGGATTAACATCATCTGAATAGTGTCTCACCTTGCTCTTAGGTTCATAGCTCTCGAAGAAACTATGAGGAATACAGTACCCAGACTATTGACATTTGAGATTACAAATATATGTTGGAATTGTATGTATTGGCCTTGTTTATATTCAAAATGCAATTCCATATTTATTCTAATTCAGTTCAAATATTTTATCCATCCACTTGAATTTGGCATGCAGCGCTCAGCTTATAT